GGGCCGGGGACCGCCGCCGTTGCTGCTGTTTCTGGGAGCCACGCTGGTTTTCACCGCCGGGGCCGCTCCGGGTAGGTACAGACCTGGACCTGGGCGGCTCTCGCGCCCCACCCCCGGGCCGGGATCTAGCTAGCTCTTCGTGGGCAAGCGAAGTCCGTAGGCTGCAGCAAGGGGGCCTGGACCGTGGCCAGGGCCGGGGGACGGGGCGCGCGAGCAGGTGGGAGGCCTTGGGGGAGGTGAAGAGGCAGGGGGCGGCACCGGCCCGGGGATGCAGACCGCGCTGCGGGCTGGGGGTGGGGCCTAGAGGTGGGCGGGGCCTCAGGGTGAGGCTTAGGGGCGGGGCCTGGAGGTGAGGGAGGGTTATGGTGGGGAGTAAGACTTGAGGATGGGACTTGAGCTGGAGACCGCCCCGGCCTGGCCTTTAAGACTGCAGGTCCAGTGAGGAGCCACACCCGGGAAATGTTAGATCGGGGGTCTATTGAGGGCTGAGAGGGCGGATGCAGGGACTGGGCTTAAAAGTGGGGGCGTGGCCTAGGGATACCTTGGGGCGGCTGCTGAGGGTTGGCCCTGGTCCGGGAGGGCTAGCCGCGAGGGGGCGGGGCCCAAGACCCCCCCTCAAAGGCTGCTGCCCTGACGCCCCGCCCCTCGCCCTCCCGCCCACAGCTCGCGAAGCAGGCAGCACTGTCGACGCCCAGAAGATGATGAACGTCCTGGCATGGGAGCCGCGCGCCAACGACACGCGGGAGGGGGCCAGCCCGCCAGCAACTAGGGAAGATGAGACTGCGTGGACAGCGCCCGCCGACAGGCAGGAGCAGGTCGTGGCGGGCCCCGGGGTCGGGCCAGAAGAGGCACTGGAGGCGTCAGCCGCCGTGACAGGTGCCGCCTGGCTGGAGACTGACAACCCCAACCAGGGTGGAGTGACCGCCGAGGTGGGCAGTGGAGACACCCAGGCCCTCCCAGCGACACTCCCTGCTCCCGACCAGGCCCTCGGGCAGTCGTCAATACCCCCAGCTACCCCCGAGGCTAGCGAACCACCCTCCCTCACCCCTGTCAACAAGCCAAGTCCAGACCCTGAACTCCCTAAGGAGAAACCCTTGGAGGTCTGGCTGAACCTGGGAGGCAGCACACCCGGCCCTCATGGGCCAGAGCCCACGTACCCTTTTCAGGGCACGCTGGAACCCCAACCAGCCTCAGATATAATTGACATCGACTACTTCGAAGGATTGGATGGGGAAGGCCGTGGTGTCGACCTGGGAAGCTTCCCGGGGTCACTAGGAACCTCGGAGCACCACCCTGATACCGACCCCGGGGGAGAGACCCCTTCATGGAGCCTGCTTGACTTATACGATGACTTCACCCCCTTTGATGAATCTGATTTCTACCCCACCACCTCATTCTATGACGACTTGGATGAAGAGGAGGAGGAAGAGGAGGATGACAAGGATGCAGTGGGAGGTGGAGACCTGGAAGATGAAAATGATCTCTTGATGCCCACCAAGAAGCCCGGTCTAGGGCCAGGGCCAGGCCAGCCCACTAGCCGGTGGCATGCTATTCCCCCACAGCATACTCTGGGGATAGTCCCTGGCAGCAGCATTGTCCTCAGGCCCCGCCCAGGAGAGCCAGGCAGGGACCTGGCCACAGGTGAAAATGGTACTGAGTGCCGCAGTGGATTTGTTCGACATAATGGCTCCTGCCGGTCAGTGTGTGACCTCTTCCCCAGTTACTGTCACAATGGTGGCCAGTGCTACCTGGTGGAGAACATAGGGGCCTTCTGCAGGTAAGGGTGTGGCAGACAGGTGCTCAGGGGCTTCTGAAAGAGCACTTGAAGACTATGTGTGACTCAGCTAATGTGACAGATTGACACAACTTCCAAAAAGTTATACATTCACAGGAATTCCAACTCAAGAAATGTTCGCTCAGCTATTTTCTACAAAATTGCTTCTTAATGTATTTCCTGTGGTTTCATTACTAGGAGAGATTCCTTGGAAATAATATTTTGTGTTTAAGTGTCGCGTCCTTTACCAAACCACTGGTCTTAGGAGGAGCACTTCTGTTACCTGGGTATCTTTTTTGTGTCATTCCCAATGTTTCTTTTTCATAGTCTATTTTGAAGGCATGTCAGGAATTCAGATTCCTTAGATGTTGATGTTCTAATAGGGGAATAGCACACAGAAAGCAATGAAGGTAGAGCCCTTGGCATAGAAGCTTCAGTTCCAGTCCTTTCTATAAAGTTTTGTTTATAGGCAAAATGAAAGAACTTCTTTAAGGGTTTTGGAAAGAGAAACTTTGCAGGGTTGAGGAGTTTTTGATGGAGAGTTTTGGCTGTGCTAGCAAAAAAAGATAGGCCCATAAGCCTGCTCTGTGGGAAAGACAGCTGTTGGATAGATACTTCCAGTCACATGTGTGGCAGGAGGAGGGCCTAGTCTCCCTGAGTGGGACATGTAGGGTGTGGACATGTAAACTCAGAGTGAGGACCTTCTCACTGGGAGCAGACCAGAAGAGCAGCCACTCAGGAACAGTCGAGCTAAGAGTCTTTCCTGGTGTCATAGATATGGGAGAGTTTCTTAACTTTGGGTGGTGGCTTTTCCCCCTCTACCTTAATGTTTGTCTTCCTTGGGATACCCAACCCATAATGTTTTTAAAGATCCAGAGAGCTTAGTATTCCTAAGAACTTTGTGTGCAGCTGTCATCCCGTGCTTCATCAGGTAACTACCCGTTCATCTTCATTCTTGGGAACTGTCCTCACAGCAAGGTATTTAATGTACTCACTAAATTAGTCTGAAAGAATCACAAGTCAGACATGATCTGGGTGGTTTGCTTGTCTGTTCTCTACTAGCCCTACGAGTGGAGAAGAACCTCCATACTCCTCTGAGACTTGTTTCCACTGGTCTTAGGAGGAGCACTTCTGTTACCTGGGTATCTTTTTTGTGTCATTCCCAATGTTTCTTTTTCATAGTCTATTTTGAAGGCATGTCAGGAATTCAGATTCCTTAGATGTTGATGTTCTAATAGGGGAATAGCACACAGAAAGCAATGAAGGTAGAGCCCTTGGCATAGAAGCTTCAGTTCCAGTCCTTTCTATAAAGTTGTTTTGTTAATAAGTGGTCATAACATTAGGATCACAAATATAGAGTATGACCACACAGTTCTGCTTGGAGTCATCCAGCCATTGTCAAGAGAAGGGAGTGTGATCAAGAAATTATGGCAACAAGAATGTGGGCATTTGGTCAAGGCCTACCAGAAATATGGGGAAACCTTGTGATTTTGCTCTTCAGCCTTCAGCTTGGGGTACTATAGTGATGATTTCAGCCTGGGAGCTGTGGAATATCTTCCAAATCATCATCTTTAATCTTATTAGAGGCCTTGAGTTTTCTCCTTCAAAGTGAGCTCCCAATGAGAGTATTATGTTTGGAGTCCTTGCTGCCTCTGGAGTTCCCAGAGCCTCTCAGAGCTCTCAGGGGGTTCCCAAGTAAGAGTAAGGTCATCTTCCTCATTATACTCAATGGTTTTGCTGGTAAGTCCACCAGTGTGTCACTGTCTTGGAAGGCCTTCTCATGCCCACTCCAGTTCCTCTTGCTGGGCTTCCATCCCTGGCTCACACATGGGCCACCCTACCAGACATTCCTCTTCTAGCTGTGCACTCTCAGCCATGGTTAGGGAACTGTTTTGCATTCTGCTCACAGGAGACTGCTGAGCCTTTAGTTGCAGACTGCAGCATGCCTTTGTCTCTGTCACCCTGACCCACTGCAGGAAAGCGATCAAAGCCATGGCAGAACTTCTCTAGAACAGGAGGTTAGAGGGCCCCTCTTAGAAGGAGATGCATACCCTAGCATCCTCAAACAGATAGCCCCTCTGTGACTGCAGAGGTTCATTTGGAAAAGAAAGAGGAATTCCTTATTAGTCAAATCTCCCCACCCAATTCTGGACTCAGAGTAACCAATTCTCCCATGTGTAATTGCCTCATTTCTGGATCCCTTTCTCTTGTTTGTCATTCACCCTGAGGTTCATGTCCTCCCTCCTTTGCCTGCCTCTGTATCCTTCTACATATCTCCTCTTTGAAGCAGCCTGGTTCCCATGGAAACAGCAATGTCATTGGAAGAGTTGGAGCCTGGGAATGTCCCCAAGGGCAGGAGAAAGTCACTCAACAAAAGGACTAAAACCCACCCAGAGGGGTGATTCTCACTCTGCTTGCATGACTGTTCTCTTGGTAAGGGAATGGGGAGCTTTAGGGGCAGTATTTCTGGGGCTGCAGAGGTAGGAGGCGAATATACATCCATCTTTGTGTTTGTCCTTGTCTGCCACTTCCTTATTTTTCAGCATCTGGTTAGCCACATGAGCTAGATGGAACTGCAAAGCAACAGATAGCTTTTCATGTATGGAGTGAGTCCTAGTATTTTATAGCAAAAGCTCCTATTTATCTGTTTTTTTTTTTTTTTTTTTTGTCTCTTTTTTGCCCAGAGTCATGGCAGGGAGGGGCCTGAGAGAATCCTATTTCTGTCCTCATTGAGACTGTGAGACAGAAGGCCAGGATTCTCTTCCCTCACTGGTCACTTAATGATCATGTAACCTCAGTTATCTCGCTTATATCATGGACTGCCAAGCTGCTTTTGCACATCATGGGTTGGTTGTAAAGATGAGGTGAGAATATCCACTAATGGTCTGTACAGATATAGAGCATTACAGTTCTTCTACATCTCAATGGCAGTGCGTTAGATTGTCATAGGAACAGGCTATTGAGATAATTATGGGGTCAGGGGCCAGTTCCATCATCTCAGTCTCCCCCTGTCCCTGCTCCAGGTGCAACACACAGGACTACATCTGGCACAAGGGGATGCGCTGTGAGTCCATCATCACTGACTTCCAGGTGATGTGCGTAGCTGTTGGCTCAGCTGCACTTGTGCTGCTCCTGCTCTTCATGATGACAGTGTTCTTTGCCAAGAAACTCTATCTGCTCAAGACGGAGAATACCAAGCTGCGGAGGACCAAGTAAGTCTGTGTCACACAGCTTCACATGATGAGAGGCACCTGACCCTGGACCCTACTGCACCCCTCCATCTGATCCAGGGATATTGTCATCAGGGTCTTTGGTACCTGCTATCTAACCAGAAGGCAGGCGGTTCAAACCCACCAGCCACTCCTCGGAAGGAAGGTTGGGCAATCCTACTTCCGTAGTTATACTGCCTCGGAAACCCAAGGAGGGGTCGCTATGAGTCGGGGCCGACTCGACGGCAAACAACAACAACAACAACATCGAACCAGAAGCTTGGCGGTTCAAACCCACCAGCCACTTTGCAGAAGGAAGACTGGGCAATCTACTTCCATAAAGATTTACCACCTCGGAAACCCAAAGGGGGTCGCTACGACTCAGAATCAACTCGATGGTAGTGAGTTTGGTTTTTATCTGGCAACATACCCAACATTCCCATTCCCATCACCCCTCTCCCCACATAGCAGGGAGAGTGCTTAAAGAAAAGACAGCCAGCATATAACAACTCCAGGCTCTATTTCCCAAGTAAGTTACTGTCCTCAGCGTCCCCTGCCACCCCACCCCCCTGCTTGCACAGGCTTCCCTGGCCCTTGACTAGACCAGTATAAGGATTCCACTCACAAATCAGTGTGAAGAGCTCCATCTCCCTAAAATCTGCTATCACCTCAATACCAGCTCCTCCTCAATGAATGCTGAAAAATGAAGGTTTAACACCACAATGCATTGCTTTTAAAAGTTTGCAAACCCCTGATCCAAACAGAAGTGCAAGAAACTTAAGGAAATTCTCTTTACCTCTCCTGAGTAGACTTCCAGGAGAGAATCGCTCTTAACACTAAACAAAATAAAAAACCCTCTGAAATGTCACAGTAGTCATAAAAGTAGGAGATTGAAGCTCAGCTTCCTTGGGCCCAAGGGACAATTTATGCAGAATTGCTTTCACCTCCCTTCCAACCTGTTGCCCCATTCACCTCCTCCCCCTGACCTGACACCCCCTTCAGAAAATGACTGATGAACTTTCTCTGAGTCCTGGGAAAAGGACAAAATGCCATCTGTTGCTCCTTTGCTGGGTAGACGCATGCAACTTGCAGATGCCAGCAGTTCTCTACAGCCTTTCAGCTAACTGTCGTGGGGCTGAAAGGGCCCCTCCATTGTGCCTATGCATGGAGGCAGGGTTGTATCTGTGTACATGATCACTCCAGAGAGACATGAGCTAGGACCCTATACCAAGGGAGTGGTCAGCAGGGATGTTCAGAGAGGAGGGGGATGGAACAGTGAAAATCAGGACAGCTGCTGATGAGGATGGAGGAGAGGATAGGAGCAGCTGCCAAGGGAGTGGAGAAACTAGAGCTGTGGCCAGAGAAGTCCTCATTCTAGGCCTGTCTTCTCTAGCCAGCTATGTGCTTTCCACAGAGTGTAACTCTTGCACCTTTCAGCTCAGATGCCACCTCCTTTGTTTCTTCTGAATACTTTCTTTCCTGAGTCTGGTTACTGCTCTGGTGGTGCTACATGTGCCCAATATACTACAGACACTGCTGGAATTTATTGATTCTAAGATAAACATTTTCTTCCCATATTAACATCTCTGGAATTGGATGGTGTTTTACAATTGCTGGCATCTTGTAATGACTGTTGGCCAGATGGCAGTCATGATGTAGTTGTAATTGCCTGGCATGCATACACATGGTCATAGCTGTTCATATCATCGTCCGTCTTTCATCAGAAGTCTAAATTAGCTGCTTCAAGTATAAAAGAAAAATTCTAGCTGATAAGAAAGTATTGGATTGTTTAAATGGTAAAAGTTTTTTCTTAATGAAACACTTACTATAATCCATGGCATTTGATGAAATATGGTGTTTGACCCAAGAAGCTGAGGCATTACTACTATTGTTAAACTTTGCAATGATCATTTGACTTACATTTTCCCTTCTCTTTTCTGTCCTACTCAGCAAATTCCGGACCCCATCTGAGCTCCACAATGATAACTTCTCCCTCTCCACCATTGCTGAGGGCTCTCACCCAAATGTAAGGAAATTTTGCGACATTCCCTGTACCTCCTCCCCCCATGCCCGTGCCTTGGCTCACTATGATAACATTATCTGTCAGGTAACTTGTCTTCTTCACATCTCTCCTTATGCATGCGTTAGCTCCTTCCCATGTCTTGGTGTATTCAGAGTGTGTAGCCTCATCAGAGCTCTGAGATCAGCTTAGAGCAGTGGGCTGGGGCATTGAAGATGGGAGTAAGGGCTTGATGATGTATCACTTCTTTGGCAAACGGAGTTATAGGTAGTAGAAAAGATCTTTTTCAAGGATAACTCAAATTTCAGCTTCATCTAGGCTTCAGAAATCTGATTATTGTGTTTCTACTTTTCATATCAAGGACAAGGGGCTCTGCTTTTATTGCTGGGGAATTTCTTAATGGTCAGTAAAGCAAATGGTGGTTGCTCCCTGGAATGGGTGGAATAGGACCTCTGGATTCTTGACCCTATTTTTAGACCCTAAGAATTGTCAGGCTTATACACAACTGGATAGAGCCAGAGGCAGGTGCAAAATACTAGTGAAATCATAGGATGTAAGTCTTAGGGTAAAAGCCAAATTCTCTTCTTAGAATGATGGGCTCAGAAGTATCAGTTGAGACCCAATAGGAAGCTATGGTGGTGAAGTGCCTAAGGCATCTGACTGCTAACCAGAAGGCTGGTGGTTCAAACCCACCACCACTCCTTGGAAGGAAGATTGGGGCAGTCTACTTCTGTAGAGATACTGCTTCAGAAACCCAAGGAGGGGTTGCTATGAGTCAAATTGACTTGATGGCAGTGGGTTGTCTAAGTTTGTCATATTATACTGGCTTGCATGTTGCTATGATGCTGGAAGCTATGCCACCAATATTTCAAACACCACCAGGGTCATCCACAGTGGATAGGTTTCAGCAGAGCTTCCATATTAAGAAAGACTAGGAAGAAGGGCCTGGCTATCTGCTTCTGAAAATCAGCCAATGAAAGCCCTATGAATCACAACATAATTTTGTTAATTATAATACTGGATGATGAGCCCCTAGGTTGGAAGGCGCTGCACAATGACCATAACAGTGAACTCAAACATGCTAACAGTCATGAAGATGTTGCAGGGCCAGGCAGTGTTTCGTTATATTGCACATAGGGCTGCCACAAGTTAGAGAAGACGACAACTACAAAAATAACAACAGATACCAATACACCATCTCTGCCCTAGTGTGTTGCCTGGAACAGACTGACCAGTAAAATACTGGGCACTAACGTAGAGAATTTTTAAAACAAAACTGAAACCATCCTAGCCCCAAATCATGTCACATCCAAATCCAACTATCCTACATGTAATTCAGGCTCCATACCTAAAAACAAATACATTATTACACAGATTAGGAAGCTAAACTGAGATACTTCACACTGAAACAATAGAGTTTAAGAGACAGTTATGAGGAAGTTCTTTGAAATAATGGAGGATCAGAACTCATAAGAAGTTAACAGTCTACACCAGTGCTGTCCAGTGGAACTTTCAGTGAGGCAGTTATGTTCTATATCTGTACTTTCCACCATAGCAACCATTAGCTACATGTGGCTACTGAGCTTTTAAAACATGGCTAGTGCTACAGTATTGGGATGCACATTTCTACACCATTGTCTTCATTTTCTAGATGGGGAAACTGTGGCCCCAGAAGGAGGAACAGAGATTAATATTAAATGTGACCTCCTTTACCATATCCCAGAAAAGGAAAATTTGGTCTGGTGGTGGTGAGGTAAAGGGTTCTGTTTAAGTATGAAACAAAAGAGGTCAATTTAGGATAATTGAAGTCTTGATATAAAAGGTAGAAAAAGAAACAGATATTATTTCACCTGGTGTGCTCCAAGATGTGAATTAGCTAGAGGTAGCTATATAACCAAGGAAACTAAATGTCTTACAAACTTTAAGATTGATAAGCCCATTAATCAACTCACAAGGACATAAGCACCTTCAGGACAGGTCAGCATCTTGTTCCCCTTGGAATATATTGCATCTGTACCTTATGTAGCACCTTGCAATAATTAATATACACTCAGTCAGTATTTATTGAAATTAGTGCATGATGGTCTGCCACGAAGTATCTTGTTTCCACCATCTGGTGTGCCATGTTGTACATATGGGGCAGCTGGTTTGACCAGTATGGGAGTTCCTGCAGTCAGGGTATTCATTGTCCACAGCTAATTCCTTCTGACAGAACTCAGGGATCCTTGAGAAAGCTTCTGACCCATGCGCTTCTGGTCCAACATCACTGCCACAGGTACAGATAGATACTTTCCTCTTTACAAAGAGGGAAGAGAAGGAAATAGCTCTTCTTAGAGGGCTTGATTGCATGAGCTGAAACAAAGATTTCTTATTCTCCTTGGCTGACCCAGGTTTGTGGAAAGCAAGGCATTTTTATGTAGTTATGTGAGTTCAGAATATGACCAGTTTTGAAAATGGAGTGGAGTGAGTTGGCCAGCCATGGTGGACTTCCTTGAGCAGGGGCTATGGAAGAGGCTGGGCCAGCAAGCTCTGGTGGTTCTCTTTGCCTCCTGGATCTTAAGGGACATTTTCAGCTGGCATTCTTTTTTCAGGTTGTGCCCAAGGGGACATCTTTTGCTATCTGCAAAGCCACTGGGAAGTGATGGTGTGACTTTCCTAACCCTCAAGGAGTGTGCTAGTGGATCTTCTAATTTCTTTTCTAATTCTGTCCACCTAATCTAAATGTTGGGAGCTCTGGTGGCATAGTGCCTTAGCATTTGACTGCTAACCAGAAGGCTGGTGGTTCAAACCCACCAGCCACTCCTCGGAAGGAAGATTGGGCACTCTACTTCCATAGAGATACTGCTTTGGAAACCCAAGGAGGAGTCGTTATGAGTCAGATCTGACTCGATGGCAGTGAGTTTGATTTGGTTTTTGAAATCTAAAGGTTAAACTCAGCCATAGTCAAGATCTTGTGAGCATTGACAGTTAAGATGGTTGCCACTTTATTGTGCAGTTCTTTGCTACAGCCACCTCATTGATTGCTTACAAGTGGTGTTAGCAGAAGGATGAAAGTGAGAAAGCCTCGAAGATGACCCAGGAGGTACAACTAGGGGCATCAAAGTCAAGCCTGCTGGTTTTGTCTCTCACTATCCCTTACCCTTAACCACTTACATATATTTGCTGGTATTGGTGTTTCCCCAAAATTTGGAGAGTTGATTAATCTTAACAGGAGCTCTGGTAGCGTAGTGCCTAAGGCATTTGACTGCTAACCTCGGAAGGAAGATCAGGCAGTCTACTTCTGTGGTGATACCATGGTGATACTGCCTCGGAAACCCAAGGAGGGGTCGCTATGAGTCGGATCTGACTCAATGGCAGTCAGTTTAGTTTTGGTTTGATTATTAATCTTAATGGAGGAGCTATTATTTCTTTTACAGAAGTAAAAAAGATTTTCCTGCCCAGTTCCAATAACCTTACAAGCTATACTCTGAAAGATTTCAAACAAAATATCTGCTGCTTTAGGTCTGTAATGTTCATGTCAGTGGCACTTCCCTCTCCTCTGCTGTTCACCATGCCTGGTGCTGCCCCAGTCATGGGCCCTCCTAAATTGATGTGAGGTGCTGGAGCTGGTGGGCCATTGTCTGAGTCTGTGTATGTGTCTCTCGTGTAGCTGAGCAGCCAACCTTAAAGGGAACACTAGAGAAAAGGCAACGGCCTGCAGCTTCTCAGCCCTGCTGTGCAAGCTTTCCAGGAGGAATGCTGAGTGTGTGGGAAGCTGGACACTCTCCAGGTACACGGCTTGAATGAGGTCACCTGAAACCCACAGGCACATTGCCCAAACACCGAGAGCTGCCCTGTTGGTCCTCACAACTACACTGTCGAGGAAATGTTGTGGATATAACGTGGGTCCTTCTAAAATGTTATAGACCTTCCAGGACACTTCATTTTGTTACTGGAACTTCTCCACGGTATCCCTTAGTGCTTTGTTTTTCACTATTCAAATCTTCCTGATTTTCCAGACCCTGTCTTTTCCATGTGTTGGATAAAGCACTAACTTCCTTCTCTGGTAGAGGTTTATCTGTGGACAAGGAGGGATCTAGGCCTGAACCCACATTAGCCCTAGGCTAAAGGATATCCATGTGGCTGGGGTAAAATGCAAGGAGAATGGGGCCCAGATTCATTCTCAGGATTTATACCAGATGGCAGTCCAGCTCTCCCACGATGGGGGACTTCCACCAAATCAAAGGCAGATGGGATTTCTGTTGTGGGATTTAGTAACTCTAGGCTTAATAGGATCAAGTTCTTACAGAAATACTTGGGTTAGTAGAGCTCTACTTTGTTTTAAACACTCTCTCACCCCTTCTATTTGTTGGAGGTACTTAGCTTGTCTAATAGAATTGTCTGGATATCTGTGCTCCTTACTTCTAGAATATGTTCCTCCCACTCCTTGGCCCAGAAGCAGTTTACTCATCTGTCCAAATCCTGTGAGCCCGCAAGAGGCCAGGTTTAAGGAACCCCTACCTTCATAACTAAATCTATTGTTCTTCACATGATGAGAGTGTTCTTGTGCTTAGTATGCCCCAAAGACTAAGGGGAGGGGCCACTGGACAGGGTTATCTTAAGAAACATGAAAGCAGATTGTATCCTGGTAAGAGAAGAGGAAAGTATAGGCCCTCATGTCTTGATCCAAGTTTTGCTGTGGTTCAAAGTCCATGCTACCCAGGATTTTAATGGCCTGACTCTCAAGCCTCCATGCCCACTGTCTTCCCCCAAAATGATTCAGAAACATAGGAAATAAAAAGTGCATTTCTACCTCATCCCACTTCCTTCCCCATAAAATGTGTGTATATGTGTGTACACATGCACATGTACATCCTATATTTTTAAAACATAACGGGCTCTTACTGTGTGTATGTTGTCCCTCTTACTATTTTGTACTTACATATCATGGAGATCTTTCCATCTCAGAAACATAGATTTATGTCACTGAAAAGTTTTTTTCTCAATTTCTCCAAGCTATGATTAATAATAACAGTTCCCTATGGGTGCCCTGGCGGCATAGTGCCTAAGGCATCAGACTGCTAACCAGAAGGCTGGTGGTTCAAACCTACCAGCCACTCCTGGGAAGGACGATTGGGCAATCTACTTCTTAGTGACACTGCCTCAGAAACCCAAGGAGGGGTTGCTAAGAGTCAGACCTGACCCAACAGCAGTGAGGTTTTATTTTATTTTATTTTATTTATGGGTGCCTTGTGTAGCTGCTTTGCATGCAGTCTTCCTCAGTGCTGTATAAAGTTCATTTCTTCTTATTCTTGCCTCACGGTCTGTAAATCATGTCTGAAGTCTTTGAAACTCACTATTAAATTACTTTGTTCAGGCTGATCCTCTGGAAAAGTGCTAACTGCTGCTGGAAGTACTGAGCAGTTGACAGTGATTCCCACGTGCACAGTATCTTTGAGCACCCCTGGTGCACTATAGACACAAGCACTGTGGGAAGCCTGGAGCCTTTCCCTACTTTCTTTTTAACCAATCACTGCCCTAACATAGTGTTTTTATGGGTCAAACTCGTAGCAGGCTATGTGGACAAGAGCTCACTAGAGTTATAGGGAGGATGCTCTGGTCCTTTGTAGTGAGCTGATTCATAGATGTGGTTTAAGAAAGAAAAGCCTTATGTTAGATAAATAGAGATAAATATTGATTTGGGTGAAGAGAAGGGCAATGTACCAAATGTGAGTGACCAATATGGCAGCA